CCAACGTGCAGAAGTTATCATCTCAAGCACCGCAAAATTCTGCACTAGACAGAATTGCCACTACATTAAGAATTGAAACGCCTTCCTGCACTGAGGCTCAAATCGCGGAAAACCTTTCAATAAATCGCCCATAACCTAACGGCGTCGTCCTCTAACATCAATAACGAGTGAAGTGAAGCCTGACAGTGATCCTTATGTACCAAAAAACACCTAATTAATTACCTGACAAAGAAGCCGCCGGGATTCCACCTGACTTGGAAAGAATGGGCAACTTTGAACAGAATTCGCGCCAGAACAGGACACCATATATAGAAGTCACGGTACAAAAAGAATCATGCATGCGACGGCGTCTACCCCGATTAGACAGTCGACCATGTCGTCGGCAAATGCGACACGTTGCTGTTTGTGAGGGCAATGACAGCACTAGTCTGGATGCAAAACCGGCTCCGTCGTGTAATTAAAAACATTTGACCTAAACTTATGGACTTTGCGACCATACACCCGAAGAAGTGAATAAGGTATGTTGGGTAACGCTGTGTACCCTGGAAGTGATGTGCCTCATCGTCCAATGGCAATCAACCCTTGAGTGACCGTAGACAGGAACCTCAAATCCAGCAGGCCTGCTTGGTGGCTTGTTATACTTCTAGATGATAAGCAATGCGGCATAAGTTTTAGGGATCAATCACCTGTACCACCTGGAGATACATGCTTTCAGCTATTTCCAACCTGAGTGGTTTGTCGAAGAACTGCTTCCTGATTGGTTCACACTATGCTCAATGTAGGCAATATTGCCCAATGAGCTAACTGCATACAGTTCCTTTGCCCAATCAATGCTTTTCCTCTCGTTATTCTTTAATGTATAAAATAAATGTGTAAAAAATAGTACTCACTTGCCAGCAGTCAGCTTTCGATGTTAAACTATGGCGATAATGCTACAACCCTATTCGAGTTATGGTATGCTTGTGAGGTAATAACATGCATAAAAATTCATACAATGACGTACTCTTTAAGACTTTGTTGTCTTTCTCTGGATAAGTTTTATAATCTGATCAGAAATAATTATTCGATTGAATTCCTTTTCAATGGAGGTATAGAAAAAGTTATTTGAAAAGCCTAGTTATTATAAAAACCTGACAACTTACGTATTGTTTACCTTATGAGTCAAAGACTGGCAAGATAGTTATGTGATATAATGGTTAGGTACGCTGTGAACTTTCTTTTCTGAACAGAACTTCTTCGCGTATTTTATGAATTGATATTTGTTTTTGATTTGTACCATTTGTGAGGTTTTGAGGACACTGAACCTTTAATCCATGAATACACCTTCAAAATTCAATGTCGTTCTGACAAGACGAAAATAAAGTAACAGATCCAAGCACAATTTTAACATGTGACATGAACAGCTCTCGAAAATGGCAATCAAATTTCTGGACAAGGACAGCAGACTTGCTCGCATGGACAGCAGTCAACATTGCTAAGCGGAATCTTCTGTCGACACTCCATGGAGTTCATTGGGATCTGCCATTTTTCAGGTTCGTATATGTTTGCGCAGTTCTCAGCAGTGCAGATGACGGTGATGAATTGGGCGACACCGCAGGTGTTAGTTCCGGCCTCTATTCGGAAGAAGCCACCCTCACCCCAACTCTTGCCCCACGTGTTTTTGACAATGTAGTACGGAATGGAGCTGGTGTAGTTGTAGCCGACGATCATAACTGCATGTTCCGCTTTTACCTGACATTGAGGACGGCGGATGATCCCTGACTTGTACAGCTGCAGTGTTTGTGGAACGCTGATCAGTGTTACGAAAGGCCCCCTGTTCAGCAAGATCGACAGTATTTCTTTCTCGTTTGAAGTGGCGTTGATCATCTTTGCCCATTTGATCTAAAAAATTACTGCATGATGAAAAAATCATATAAACCAGAAGCAAATTTTTATCTTAGCACCATATCCGACATTAGTAACTCTGTCTTCATCGATTTCAGGAAACAAATGCTTCATAGAGCTTTAAGCTATTGCACTGATGACCGACTGTTCAAGGGTGAAACCAAACGTTTTACATCAACTTTCTTTAAAAACGAATTTGCCAATTATTTAAATGATTCTGCATTTAAACACCCCAATTTTGGTTCCACTCCCTTTTTCGACTGTAACCCTACATACCAGGCATATCTGAGAAAATTAGGCAATATTTACAAAAAAATACCATCTTAATGCATTTTTCTGAATGGGCAAAGCCTCGGGAAACATCTTGCATAGGAAACATGATCCTCGCCTCTGCTTGCAAAGTAAACGCGTCGTCTATCAAATAGCTTGCAATAGTTGTGGCCAGATTTACATTCACAAGACTTGACGAACGTTGAAATTCAGACTGACGGAGCACAAAGAGCCATCTGGTAGCGTAAAGCTGATCATTCTGGTTTTGTGCTCATACATTGGAGAATGATCATGATTTTAATAACAGCGATGTAACGGTGGTCGATCGACACCGGAACAAAGTGGAGCTATTAACCAAGGAGTCGCTACACATCGCTACCAGCAAAAAGAGAAATTGCAACGGTTGTGACGGTTCCACTGAGAGTTTGGCAGCGTGGAGCATTATCAATAGCTTAATTGGTTGACAGCCTAGCGTCCAACTGACCCAGCAGTTTTCTTATTTCTTGTTTATTCTCAGATGATTCCATGCCAATTCGATCGAAACGTCGGAATCCTTGTAAATAAAAGTATACTTTTTGTTTTTGGTGCTGCCAACCACGGAATCAAATGACCTTCAAATTTTTAATATTGCGGCAATTGTAGCAATTATGAATTTCAAAAAAAATAATTCTTTAAATCTGTGAGACGCTTATACATTCTCTGGAAAGGTTCATCATCCAAGTATGACGTGGCCAAATGCGAAACACCTCGTGCTTTCTCGTTCTCCTGCCCGTTGTTCTCTTCAGACTAATGGAGAGACAGTGGAGCAGGTGGAAAAGTTCAAGTACCTCAGAGTCGTGTTCATAAGTGATGAAAACTTTGAGGAAGAGAGATCCATCAGCGCATTGGAGTAACCAGTGGCGTTCTACGTGAAGTGGCCATAACCGTTGTGACTGAAGCAGATCTGAGCCGAAGATTTTGCCACCTCTGTTCAAATCGATATTCATCCCCATCTTCTTCTATCGACATCAGTCGGGCGCTATGACTGAGAATTTTAGATGTCGAGTGAAAGAGGCTGAAATGGGTTGTCTGAAATGAATTAGTGGCCTAACACATCTCGAAATGGTCCCTTTTTCATATATACAGCCATTGATTCAGCGGCCTGAGAAATCACATCTCTGACGTCTTGAGGCCGTCATATGAATACCTCAAGAAAGTAGAGAAAAACAGCTACTTCCTGTTTAATCAATCGGCCAAAGCCCCAGCGATGGCGACTAATGGCCTCAGGAAAATGACTCAAAGGACTACCATAGTCTCGGGTTTTCTTCTGCTGAAAGGGAAACGATGAAAAAAAATCAACAACGTTGGAGATACTGACTGAAGCGTCTGCCTGTGCGTTTCGAAAGGAAAAGTGGTTACCGATGCTTACTGACAGATGGATAACACATTTCGGGCTTTCTCAGTCTCCCACTTCCTCCTCAAATTTGTTTTCAAGCCTGTTTATGAATGTTAACTCTCTTTGACTCATAACTGAGAGAAATCACTTGAACTTCCTTCAGGAACTGTCATCGATCATTGCCATAACTAGAAGTAGATTGTGAAAGTGGACGACTGATACTGAAACATCATCTAGGACAGCCAGATGAGTCCGATCACTACTGTTCCTACGTCAACTTTAGCTCGGTATATCTCCGCCATTAATTTTCAAATCTGCCGTTTGAGAGCTCAACGATCTTTCTCTGGTTAGACTGAAGCAAATTAATTTGAATTAGACTAAATATATCTCAGATGTTCTGAGGTAATTATCAAGAAGGTTTGTAATCAATCCCACTGAGAAGGGTACTAAGTAATTTCATTCTAAGGGATTTACACTGGGTCACAGCGTCATCCTATGACTTGCAGACATCCGGAGGAAATTTATACAGGAGAAACTGTAAAGCAAACATTTTTGGTAGTTACCTAAGGACAACAGGTAATCGTTAATTTTTATATGCTGAGGGATAATGACGGTATGATAAATTGGTGAACAAGCGCATCCTCATTCATCGAAATCCGGAGATGCGACCTTGCTTCCAGTGCATTGCAAGCGCTTAAATACTGTGGAGCCGTGAACTGCCTAAACACTCGTCTAGGCATGTAGGAGCAATGAGTCCATGTACTTACCAAGATTATGACCAGTAAAATGATCTGACTCAATCTGAATTTTGTTCAAGGCAGCTTGGCATCAGAAATCTGCATGATTTACTATCAGCCTCCTCTTTACGAAGCGCCGTCAAGAACCAGATTAGGGGATCAGATGGCTGCTGGGCAAGGCAGTAAAATGCATACTCTTGAAACACTACGGCAATCGCAAAACTGTGATGGAATAAAAATGGGAGTTAGCCGAGCTAATCTTATGCATGCGAGGCATTTCTGCGCAGGAAAGGACACTTCTGTTGCGAACAAGAATCCCACATGGAAGGATTGTTGCTACGATTCATATGTGACCCATAAGGGAGCATAATGAGATTTTCCTTATGACAAGCTTTCTGAATACGGAGGGGGGAGGAAACTCGTGGTGAAGACCAACGAAAGATCCATATAATATATAAAGGATTGTACTCAGCAATGCAAAGCAGATTTTATCATCAACCTTTTCCTCAATTTTGATTCTCAAATATAGGAAAGCTGACGTAATATCCTTACCCAAAATTTTGTAATCACTCGTCATCCTGTGTTGCGAAGGCCTCCAGAAAGGAAGGTTAAGCAACTGTTTCTTGCCAAACCGACCGGCAGAAGGCCCAGGGGTCGGCCAAGATTACGCTGATGCAAATACATGGAAGGAGTCTGTTCCAGACTCCATTTGTCTTTTGCTGAGGCTCAGACTCTGGCACAGGATCGGAAACGTTGGAAGCTCTGTCTGAGGCGTCTGCCTCCGCGACCCGCAAGGAGAAGCGGCGATGGAAGATGAAGAAGAAGACGTTGTCATCCTTCTAACCGAAGGTGCATCCACTACACTTTGTTGGCATTGCAGCCATCCAGAAAGAGCTTAAGAACAGAACCGTTTGGTTCTTTTGTAACATACTGGTGCTGCAGTTTCTCTTTAAGGCCGTGCGTCAGTTTAAGTATGACAATTTGTCTGTCTTAGAGCAAAGAATGAACACTGCGCTTGCAACATAGATTTACAAGACCGTTTCAAAACGAAGCAAAACTGAATGGATGTATTTTAAGACGAAGTAAAGCGGTGTGTCGTGGTTGCGGTCCGTTCCTTAGATACAGGATAAAACTGATTTACGGAAATAACTGAAACATCAATTCATAATGATGAATTAACTTAGGTAGCTCAAAGCTTAGCAGCAATAAAGCACATACAACAGCCAATACAAACAAAGTAATAAGGTAATACATACATAAGTATAAATAAATAAATAAAGTACATACAAAAGTATACATTACTTTAAGGTTTCGAGTGATATCCTCTGTACACGTAGGTTTCTGGCATTCGCCTTCGACCATCTTGTACGGATAACAGGTTTCGGTCGGTATTTCAAGACTTTTGTTTTGAACCGTCTTAAG